TTTTTTTATACTTATTTTTAATAATTTATAAATCCTATCTACTAGTATGTAACTAAATAATTTCCAAATTTTATTAAACTTAGTAAGTAAAACAAATACATAACAATTTAATCCGCATATGTGTGGTTAAAACTTCCAACCGAAAAATAAAAACGAAGTTAGGTTTGCAATTAAATTGGTGGAAATTACACAAAAACCAAAATGGAGTCAACATTTTGGAGGTTGGGAACTGCCACCGGTTTACGTGGTCGGTCCAGCTTGATGATGACATATACGTACACTGTGATCATAAATTATTTACAATAAATATATATATATATATGATTATTCAAAGATTCAATTTAATTTTTCATTAAAGTTTTTAGTTACAACAGTTAATTGAAATTCTATTTTGTTCTGAAATTCACTATTGAATGTTTAAATTAAAACAAATAATTCCTAAAAATTACAGATTACTCTAATTATGAGTCTAGTGTAGATTATAAGTAAGATGACAAACAATATAAAGCAAAAGCAGATCACCGGCAATGGAGGGGAATATAAAATTAAATCAAAATTAATATATAATAATTCATTATTATGACGGTAGAATATTTTTATTATTATTTTTATTAAAATAAGTTTAAATTATAAACTCTCGTGCGTGTTTTTATTAAAATATTACAAATTTTGAGACAGATTAAGTATTCGGGACGACTCCAAATTCAATATGGTTACATAAAAACTTTTTGAAGGTTCGAAATTAATTGGCAAAATCACCTTAAAGATATTTTGTTTACGTGCATTTTTTTGTTTCTTTCTTCATTTAGTTATTTTGGGGTAAGCCAAAATATTGAATCTTCAACTTGTGTTGTCTTGAATTCACAATGAAATCCCGCGTGCTCACATGCTGCTACATTTAACCAATTTGTTCCAACAACTTTTTCCCATGCCCAAATTTTTCTTTCCCATACCATGTATTTATAGATATTAAAGATAACAATTTATGAAAAAATTTATAGGGGTATATTGTAATAATTAAGATTTACGTATTTTATTTAAAAATTAAAAATTCGAAGTTCACTGAATATATATAACTCAGTATACTATGTATATATTATAAATTGACAGTGACTTATTTATAATATTTAAATCAATTAAAACACTTAAATGTTACTAAATCATAAGAAATTCTACATTAATTAAAATTACTATAACGTTAATTATTCTATCTATACTTTCACTGTTATTATCTCTGTACACTATTAAACTATTATTAGACAAAGTTATCACAATAAATAAATTACAAGTTATTAGAGAGAGAAAAATGTGTTTATTTTTCATACTGATACTCTTTTATATTTGTAATTATTATTTTCTTATTATTATTTTTTCTAATATCAAAAAAGATTCTGAAGAGACAGAAAATACACAAGTACATGTTAAAAAAATTAAAAAAATAGAAATTAATAAAATAAGAAAATTAAACAGATTTTTTTTTTAAAAAAAAAAAACTCATCGAAAAATTAAATCAAAAAGAAAAAGACGAAAAGAAAAAAAAAATTTGAAGTTTTCATCCAACTCTTATTAACCCTTCAAGCTCTGATGAGGCCCAAGATAAAATATCATACAGCAAACCCAGTTTAGCCCAACAAGCTTGGCCCAGAAAGGCAAGCCCATCCCATCATTTCTAGGGGTAGAAGCTTTTCGGGTTTGAACAGGGGACTCTACTTACGGCTAGTTTCGTTTGGGAAAGAAGAAAAATTCGGGAGAAAGTTGAAGGTTAAACGAAGAGAGGAGAGAAAGAGCA